TTGCTCAGGGGCCCAACGGAGTAGGATTCCTCTGCTGGCCGCAGGATTTGAACCGGCAACCTTCCAGCCACAGGCGCAGATCCTTATGATATTACACCTTTCACACACTTGTAAACAAGCATGTCCACCAGAAATAATGGGATAATGTTTGCATGATTTACTGATATTAAAAAGCATTTGACTCAATTTGCCACGAAAATCTATCTTACAAAAATGTTTTCAAAGTGATGTGGTGAGTTAAGTTCACTGCATTGAGATATTGGCAATAACTCAGGGACATGGGGTTGGACAGGGCTGGACCTCGGCCCAACACTGTTCAATATCAGAACAAGTAAAGGTTTATTCCATGCTGAAAAGAGAAGAAAAGAAACAACATTTTGGCTGTGGAGCCTTCTTATTTGAACTACTGTCTATTGATATCTATATCAATGAGATTGCAGAGGTGTTGGAACAGTCTGCAGCCCCTGGCCTCACACTACACAATACAGAAATCAGCTTACTGCTCTACACTGTTCACTTGGTTCTACTGTTGCCCAAAGAACAGGGCTGGACCCATCTGGACCCAGAACAGGTCCAGAATAAATTGGCTTCATCACTCAGTTCTCCTCCCAACTGAGAGCTGGTGTGTGGTGAGCATACTGGTGCACTATGGCTGCATTCGGATTATCCAGGTGGGGCTGCACACTGGTGGTGGAGGGGAGTCCCCATTACCTGTGAAGCGCTTTGAGTGGAGTGTCCAGAAAAGCGTTATCTACTGTAAGTGTAAGGATTATTTATTATTATGATTATTAGATAATGTTCAGTGGGCATTGTCATGGTTAAGGCTGTGAAGACTGCATCATCACTGTAAAGTTGACAAAGTAATGGCTAACTGCACACAAAATAAATCTTCTAAACTGCCCATCGTGATCTCCAGACTTCAATCCAACTGAACAGTTGTGATTCTAACTCGAGATGGGAGTTCACCAATGGAAACCAAAGTGTCTAAAAGATTTTTTTGCAATTCTGCATGAAGGAATGTCCATAATGCCAGAAGCTCATCACAGACTGCAGGAGGTGTCTGTTCGGTATAACCCTTGCCAGAGGAGGATTTACAAAAATACGAATAAATGTGACCATTGAGTTCTCTAGACTTCAATTATGAAAAACGGGATATATATGACTGCAAACCTGAACCCTCATCACATGCCTAAAAACATCATCTTCCCAGGATGCTTCACTCTCCCTGCTAACAGCCGTCACGAGATGTCTGTTTTTCTTCTCTAGGAAGGAGACATTTCTCCTCTCAAACGGATATTTCAGCACCTCAAAAGAGTCTTTCGAGCTGAAATCAAAAATAAACCACTTGGCTTCACTCCGACAGCCCAGCCACGAAAACACATTAGACGTGTCACAGTGATGTAACCCCGCATTGCAGTTCTATCTTGAGAGCTGAATTGCTAGGCAGACAGACGTCTTCCCTGATTTTGGTCTTTCTTAAGGCCTGCAGTAAAGCCACACAAAAAGCTAACAGCAGGACGAGGAGGAAATTGCTTAATGCCCCTTCTGCTATTGAAATGTGGTTAGTTGTTCTGCACATGAAAGGCACACAGCAAAACAGCCTACTTCAGTTTTCTTGAATCTGAAAACTTAGCAAAAAGTAGCACACACTTCTGCTTCATTACGACCTGCGTGAAGCAGAAGGCTGCTAAAAAGTTCCTCTTTGAGCTTAGTCATTACATCCTCAATTACTGTAGGCTATAGAAGACTGTGCAAGACTGTGTGGATACTTACCATGCGAAACAAGATTCAGTATACTGTAGATGAGCTGCTCCAAACCTTGGGTCTCTTATTCGGTACTCAATATGGGTACAAAAGTTTAATACATGATGGATGCCAAAGATTAAAAAAAGTAACATTAAAAAATGACCTTTAAGGCTGTCTTTAGATACATGCAGAACCACCAATGACATAATCTGGACACCATAAAATAACATCTGGACAACAGTCAAGAAGCTCCATAAGCACAGAGTCCTAAAAGCAGGCCGCCTCTTATTAGAGGAACAAGTAAAGGTTTACTCCATGCTGAAAAGAGGAGAAAAGAAACACTTCTTTGACTGTTGACACCTGAAGAAGGCTCCACAGCCAAAACATTGTTTTTCTTCTCTCTTCAGCATGAAATAAACCTGTACTTGTTCCTTTGCAGCCTACAGTACTTGTGCTGACGCAGCTCCCTACTGGAACTCCTTCAGTCTCTTATTCAAGTCTACTGCGTCTTCATGGCTTGACCATGGTTATGAGACAGTATTATGACATTACAAGGTGCTCCTGTTACCACCTTCGCATCAGATCTCAGAAGTTAAGCAAGGCTGGGTGTGATCAGTACAGGCATGGGAGGCCTCTAAAGGACTCTGCATTTCTTGAACAAGAGAAGTCAGCTCATGAAACAGACTTCCCCCAGGGAGATGAACGAAGCTTGATCCGGAATATCCTGAGGTGTTGTTGGGAGACCAACTGGTGTTACTCTTCCTTCTCAACCACAGTTTCCCAAACAACGTCTCAGCCGCCTGACCGAGGAGACACTGTGCTGTAGGACATGACATCCTTCAAATGAGACACTGGACCAGGGGTCCGGACTTCCTGGCCCCCTGGTCATCAAAGATCGCATGGCACTGCTCGCAAGAGTAGGGGTGTTAATCCCACTGTTCAGGCTGATTCCTTTCTGGATCTGCATAACCCGGACCACCTAAAACTCCCCCTCCAGTCAGACGGCGAAGCAGCCTCTCCTTTCTCGTAATCGGCTTTCCTGACGTATCCCCCTCGATGCCATCCTGGATGTGAGGTCGTCTCCCACCTCTGCACCTGCTCAGGTGTGCCGGTGAGGCTGCTGGCATGCAGAGGCTGCCGCGGGTCACCTAGGTGGGGCCACACCTCAGTGGTGGATGGTTTATATAAAGGAGAAGTGATGTGTACATTTAAATTAATATACACAAATATTATTACTTCTTACTGTACTTATTTTGTTGTTTTGTTTCATGGCTTGTATCTTGTTTTTACAATTGTTACAATAGTGACTCTTTGCTCTTCTAAAAGATTTACAATGATTTAACTGTGCTTTCCTACAATTACTCTGCTTTCACCGCAATAACGCATTTATGAGGGCTGGACTGTGAACAGTCAAAAACCCACAATTACCTGAGAGACATGTGTAACTGGCCCTGAATCAGACATAAGAAATTTGATTGAAAATGTTCCAAATTTACAGATAAACTGTACGTCATGGCAGCTGAAGAAAAGATATTAAAATGCCATCCTCTTTAAACTTTGTAACCACATGTGATAATGCAGGTGTAATATCATACAGGATGAAAAATCACCTGTAATTGAAATACTTGCTGTATGATGTTTGTTGTATACAAGCCTACTATACCTCAGACTCTTTCAGGCAATCTTTGGAGCTTAGTAGCCCGCATGCCTAAAGATTGACTTAGATACCCACAGTATCTCCAGTAATTAGGTTGTAGAGACTCCTTTAGGCACTGAACAATTAATCTGATTAGCAGAAGGGATCTCTGAGTTTACAGCAGATGTGAAAGGCAGACAGACTAACCCTGCTTATCTTCCTATTAAAGCAGTTAACATCTTTCTCCCTCTCCTGGATCCTGTAACATTTACTTACAAGAGGAACACAACATTAAATCGGGAATTGTAATTAAAAACAAACTCTCCCACTTCAAGAACTGCACTGCAAAAGAAATGTGAGGCAGAAGAGGACTGGGATGCTAAAAGAAATAAGAACACTGGGGTAGCAGGATGATGATTAAATGCTTTAGCTGGATTTGCATGTTATTGTGTCCCTACAATGAAATGTGAGAGCCCATTTTGGGAAAAGTGATAGAATAAGAAAAAAATGTTCTCATGATTATTCTCCAGCGCAAGGGAAGAAAAGAGGCAAAAGACAGCTATTATAGATACAGTAATAAATACAAAGGAATTTATTACTGTATATACAAAGGAATGATTAACACCCCCAAAATGAAATTTCTTACATATACAGTAAATCTTCATTGGATTGCATTGTAATCAGCCCTAGGTTCAATTCCAGACCTGGGGTGCAGTCTGTGTGGCGTTTGTATGTTCTCAACGTGTTTGGATGGGTTTCCTCTGAGCGCTGCGGTTTCCTCATATAGTCCACAGACACACTGGTAGTTGTAATTCGCTTCTGGGAAAACTGCCCATGGTGCGCGTGTGTGCATTTGTATCTGTGTCTGTGTGCGCCCTGGGATGGACTGGTATCCCATCCAGTGAGTACCCTGGCCTGTGCCCGCTGGGAGCCTGGAGTGGATGAGGTGATGAGAAAACGGGTGGATGGATACATCCTGTAAAAACATGGAGCACAAGCGGAGAAGCATTCTGCATTTTATTGTGGGAAAAAAAACTCATCAAATGAAACCCAATTCAACACAGAGCCACGTCCTCTTTTCAATAAATACCTTCTGCCAAGAAAGAAGGTGACCCAATTTGCTATGAACATAAGAACTTAAGACCGGTTCAATACGAGTGGAGAGCGTTGAGGATCTCTTCCAGCTGGTTCCGAGACGTCAGGGTGTGTGCTTCAACACGGCCCAGCCGCTCGTCCGGTAGTCAAACAGCGCGCCCTGTCCTCGGCGTTAAACGCACTGGTGCTCCAGACTGACTCGTCTGCTAAAAGCCTCAGCCAGAAAGCCTTTAGCTTTGGTCAGAAAGGACGGAGACTCCTGTAGCCCACTCACCGCAGGGTCAGATTCATGCTATCGTGTTATCCTGCTGTGTGTCCTTTTAAAACGTTTAAAACCGTTTTAAAAAGGCAGCAATGGGAACGTGGATATCACGTAAACATCAGCAGGCAGTTTAATTGTACGCTTGGTTTCTGTTTAGAGAACAGCTCTTAACCCGCTTTGAAGCAAGGCTCAAACAATGAAGTGTTTTTCCTCCGTTTTGACAGTGTTTCGTTTACACGAGAATACCGAGCGTTTATACCTTTCGAGACGCTCCTGTTCTGAGGCTGATCACGTCATCCAGGTAACCCAGACCCCGAAACGCAGGTGACCAGTTTACCATTCACAAGTGCACAGCAACCGCAAGACGAATGTCCACATCGTGCGCCCGGCCCCGGGCAGGCAGGCTGGAAAATGGATGATAATAAATGCATTTTCAAAAATTATCCGCATTCCGTTTTTAGGATCAACAGAGCAAATCCGCGTTAGCTCTGTGACTGGTATGTGACAAAGGTCACGATGTCGAACTTGAAAACACGCTTTCTAGTCCGTTATTTTTTTAACCTGAAACAGCCTCGCCTCCCGGGTCTTTCCAACACTTTCTCTCAGGCGAAACGCTCGAGTGATCGTGACCGTCCCATCGCTTCGATGAAAATAGTTCAGTTTTGCTGCGACCGCTAAGCAGCATAGAGCCTAACAGCTACACTGCAGATCTCACAGATCATTCATTAATAACGACACATCTATTTATTTGAATACGGCCCTTTCTGTTTCTAATAACATGCCACCGCTGACGTGCGTGAATTGAAATTCAAACTCCGACACAAACCTTTCCATAAATTTAGATCTTCTCCTTGACGCATTTAGGCGTTCACTGTGCCACTATTTATATTTATTTTAAAAAAAAACCCCGACAACAAACGGGTAATATGATCGAAACAAGAAATGTGAAGTATATTGCCACCTCGCTACTATGGCTGATTTAAACGAGAAAATAATCTCCGCAAACGGGGCTGTTGTTCTTCGTGCGCTTTATAGGACGGCTCGTCATCCTAAGGAAATTCCTCACGATTAACTCTGTTTCTTTTGGCCGGGGACATGCCTTGGGCTCTTGGCCCGCGTATTCTCTGAAGGCCGAACCCGAGGCGGTCTTGGGACCCAGCGGAGCGCCCCCTGGCGGCGAGCCTCGGCGCGACCATGGCAAAGGCGAGACGCGGCTGCGCCCCGGTTTACCCAGTAACCAGGGTAGACAGCCGGGCTGCGCCAGAAGTCCCGCAGCTCGCCGCGGATGTGGACGTTATCCGGGCTTGAGCCGCCTCCTCAGTGTCTCGACGGCAGAGAGCCTGCGCGCCCAGAGGAGCTGGCGTGTGCACATGTCCGGCGAAAGCTCCGGAGCGCCGCTATCTGACGGGGGAGACGCCGGGACCTGACGTGCTCTCGGCTTTCTGCCGGGCTGCGCTGCGCTTTTGGAGACGAGGGGACGGGCGTGAGCACCGCTCCAGCTCCCCCGAGCCTTCATGGAAACAATGTCGCCTCAGCAGGACAGCGTTGGCCAGAGCCGTTCAGCGTCTCTCACCGGGGAATCCAAAATCTGCGCAGCGTCCGAGGGCAGAAAGGTACGTTTCTGAACTGTCGGCGGAAGACGCGCTGAGCAGGGGTGTCCGTGGCGCTGATAATCCACAGAGGGTTTGGTGCCGTGGTTGCATGGTTCACAGGAACAGTTCCAACCTGTTTCCCTCAACTTATTATTATTACTACTACGGTGTTAGTTTATATTTGTTTTTTATTGAGCTGTTATTAGACCACAAAAAACACGAAATAAATAAGAGTATAGTAAAATAATAAATGAGCGCCGCGCACTAAATATTCCATTTTCTATGTTGTATTCGTCCTTAAAACCGATTTGCTGCTGTTTTCGGGGACATACACTTGTGTTGGTACAGTTTGTAATGTTTAAATGTGAATGAAACACATCTCTCTGCCCTTTGATAGAAAATTGGTTTTTTTTAGACGCAGTTTTAAGCACGTTTCCTTCAGTTCGCGTTTTAAATAATTCGTGTGCGCGGAGGTGCAGAACAATAATATCTTTTCACGGAAGTGGTATATGTTCCTGAACGTATTTAACATGTTAACGCCGTTTGGAGATTGGCTACGGTATATCTCCTGGATGTACTGTATGTATTGGTAATAAGCCGAGGTTAGTCCAGCGCTGCTGCCTTCGGTTGAACTTTTTTTGTTCCATGCAACAAATAGCTTTTTAAATCCTCCAGATAACACGTGTTTTATCTCAAACACCTTTCTACAAAAAATGTTTACTCGATGGACCGGCAGCTGAGATAGTCATTTTTTAAATATTTTTTTTTTCCTGTCTGAAACAATGGCAGGATTTCACTTGATGTCAAAGTGTCTTTTTTATAGCTCCTTTTCCCCGCGGGTACTACCGATAATAACTCAGAAAATGTTTTAGATCACCTCAGAATCACGAAGAGTTCTGCACTAGACACCATATTTACTGTAATCGAACAGACACGCTGTCGTTTGGAAAAACGGCGATTGCATAATTGATCGTATGCAATGACAGATGTAAAAATGATACCGTTACATAGAAAACGACAGCAACATCAAGAGATTCCTCATATCCTTAAACCCGCTCACACACAGGTGAGTAGAGAAGTACTGTCA